CTTCTATCTTATAAAGTGGATAACGATTCAATGGTTAACTTGTTTAACTGCCTTTAGTAGATGCACAACCTCATCGACCCATCATTCTTCTTAACAAACAAGACCGACGTTCCCCACAGAGAGATACTCGGTAGGATGAAGCCCTTTTCTAACAATTCTTGAATCTGAGCTTTTAAATCCTTCAGAGTCGAACCCAAAATTACCACTATGCCAAACTTTAATTCTTGATCAAATGGTAAACCCAATAACTCTTTTGAGAACACATCGGGGAAATTATGGATTGCTTGGATATCGTCGAGTTTTGGAACTGAAATTTGAGTGTCAACCACATGAGCTAAGAAGGCCTCACATCCTCGATCGATCATCCTCTAGGTTTTTATGGAAGATATTGTCATCGACTGGCATGATTTCTCACGGGTCATCACTAACTTGGTTTCATCATCTGTTATAAGCTTGAGCTATTTGGCTTTGTACTTCAAACTAGATTCGTGCTCGAATAACCAATCTATTCCCAAAATAATGTCAAACTCTCTAAAGGGTAACTTCATCAAGTCTGCTAAGAAGGCCTGACCCTGAATTTCTACTGGACATCGTATGTGAATTTTATCTATTAGGATATCTAGACCTAGAGGGATTGATACTCAAACTTCTATCTCTAAGTCTTCGGTTGGGATTTCTATCTTGCAAACTAGGTCGGAACAGATGTAAGAGTGGTTGGAATTAGGATCTATCAAACCAATAATTGTAATGGAAAATACTATAAATGTACTTGATATAACATCTGATGCATTACAATCCTCCCGACCTCTCATCGCATACTATCTGGAGGCTACCCTCGGCTCTGCACCAACCACTGATCTAGTTGTCCCTCTCCTCTACTACCCAAATGTAGTACTACCACCTCTCACTGGCCCTCGACCTCTTTATACAGATGACGCTGACCTCTAATTCGCCGCTGGAGTCACACCCTGAGCCCTTGGAGAGACTATAATGAAGTGATCTAAGGAGTTGCAACTGAAGCAACCCCTAGATCCCTATTTGCATGTCCTCTGGTGTCACCAACCATAATAAGAACAAATAGGGTGAGTGAAGACTCTCCCTGAATCACTGGCATTGGCTCCAGAGACTAAGGTCAAAGGTCTCCGTCTTGACTCATATCTATCCCCTCGATTCAAACTCTATCCAATCCTCCTCGACTACTCTACTATGGGTCTCCACAAATCCCGACTATTCCTAACCTGACTAGAGTTTAAGATGGCCTCAATATCTCGGTAACCCTCATAGACTAGCCCATGTCCTTGTCCGACTATTGGGCCCTCTTACTCAAGACTCCCTCTATCATTTTCGCTTGCTGAGACAATTGTAAAAAAACCCTGAGAGGGTTAACTATAAGGTACGAAAGAATATTGAGGCGAAGGCCTTCCCTGAACCTACGACAGTAGTGCTCCTTCGTTGATACTAACTATGTGCGTATCTGCTCAGTCTAAAGAACTCCTTCTCGTACTCCATCAGAATCATTTCCCCGTGAGTCAAGTGTAAGAATTGGTCCATTAAATTATCGGTGCGAGCGTCACTGATGTATTTCTAGCGAAACTCCGTTAGGAACTGCTCACAATATGGCCACTCTAGGTCTAATGGCAACTCTATGGTTTCCCACCAATCTATAGCGTCACCCATGAGCAAGGCGGTGACGCACTGTAGCTTACCCTTTCGGGTAAGGTATATCTGTTTGAAGATACGGAGGGTCTCCCTAAGCCACTGCTTCACCGCTATGGGATCATCATCCCCTGAACTAAAGAACTTAATGGTCTTTTATCTACAGAAACTCTTTACTAGAGACGCTTGGGGCATCACAACTGACTAAGCTAGAGGTACTAATAGGTGAGGTGGTGCGGCTAAGGTGTTGGGTATAGCTCTGACTATTTGCCTAAGGGTGGAGGTAAGATCCTAAAAGAAGGTCACCTCCTCAGCCCCTACATCTATAGGTACGTCCTGTTGGTCTGTATTTGGGATAAACTCGTCTCCGGTGTCAGTTGCTAATGAGGCATGACTCCTGTCTATACCATTCTGACTAAAGGCTGGTTCGTCTACCATGAGGTTTTCTATGAAATTAGAAAGAAAAAGAGGTTATTATCGTCATTCCAGCCTTTGAAGTACTCGTGACTCTCTAGAGGCATGTACACTTATAGACGTTGACTAATTCTAACCCGTGGGTCCTAGGAACGATTAAACCTAACACTCTTATACCACTAAATATTTTTCTTTAAAACAATTGAAAAAACCATATAAAATTCATTTCTAGTAAAATAAAATAAATGTGACAATTTAAATTTTACAAAATGTGGGAAGCCCCCAAATCATTCAGAATAAAACCACTGAGTTTAAAATCAAAATAGAGTTACATCTGAATACAAAGGGTCTACAATAGTACATGGACTCTAAACTAAATCAAGACGTGCTCTGATGCCTCAACTATGCTGGAATATCTGGTGATGATAATGTTCCATGGACGACCTTCTAAGAACTTGTGCACGGAAACACATTCCAAATGTTGAGCTTTTGAGCTCAGTGCATCACTAATAACAGTATTATACTACATGCATTCAATAAATGTGCATGCTAGAGGTATAGGTATGAAAACATGGATATACTAAACTATCATGCTAAGGTAGGCATCATGGTGCGACTGAGGGTTCTACATCTCGGAGCTCACATACCCTTCTAGCCTTTCTAAAATACCCTGGGGTATTTGGGTGAGATCTGGAGCTGCATCAGAAGTGCACACGCGCCAACTTACTCCGTTGAGTCTTGAGGTGTTTGCGCCCAGTCGGCAACTGAAGTGTTTGACATTGACTGGATATTTGAACTACACGATTGTATCTGCTAAAGTAACTCGAGTGTCCTAACTATGTCTCGAGCATCAATAAAGGCTAGTTTTATGTCATCTTAGTTGTTATTGTTTCTAGTTGTTCTGAGTTATTACTATTCTCGCTTGTAATTCTATTTCATGACATTCTGGTGTAATTAGGCCCCTTAACTCTACCCCTTAATATCTTTGGGTTTCTTACCCAAAATTGTTCGTAGGTACCGACACTAAGTCCTCAGTAGTGGTATTGGTCTATGGGCATTGATACTAACTTATTTAAGACTGATAAAAAAGGGTTGATATCGATACCAAATTTGGCTTCGATGTTTTGAAAAAAAATACCTAAGTATTGATACCCCTATTGAGAGTATCGATACCCCCATGGGTATCGGTACCAAAATTATATACTGGAATCTGCTAAGTGAACTCGGTATCGACCGTGCGAATATCGATACCCTATCTACAGTGTCGATACTCATTGCATGGGTATCAATACTTCTAGCCCAAAATCTCTTTATTTTTAACATTTGAAGAACAATATCGATATTGTTCTTCTAGTACCGATACTCGTGCCTAGAAATACTATATTTTTGCACGAAAAATACATCCCATCACTCCCAAACATCCTACTGAGATCCCCAAATGTTATTAAAACATTATGTATGATAATAAGGGTAATAAAAGGTCCATAAACATGTTAGAAAACACTGAATATTGAATTCTACCATGAACATGCTTCATAACTCATGCAACCTACCAAAACACATCTAATGACCTACATGTGGTAGAGTTGAGTTAGAAGTGAATTACCTTGATATCTTAAGCTGCTAGAATCACCCAAGGTTCAACCAAGAGTGAGCTTCTCCTTTCCCTAGCTTTGTAGCTTTCTCCAACTTCTCTTACTAGACAAGAATCAAGCATAAATGTTACTAAAGTTGTTGGGAAACTTATAAAAGAGTTTAGAACATTTCTAGAGGTTTGAATCTTTAAAAAATGAACTGGTTTCACTTAGGTTTCAAAAACTCCATTAAATCCATATTTTGAATGCTATAGTGGAATGAAGAGGTTGAGAGCTTGATTTGAAGCTCTGAAGTTGAGGATTGATATTCTTACCTTTAGAAACTTGTACAAGGCTTGCTAGGTCACAAAGTTTTCACTTTTTTGTCAACCAATTTGAAGAGCGAGGAAATGGAGATGGAGAAGAAGAAGAAGAGGTAAAAACAAAAAGATGAAGAAAATGAGAAAGGGAGGGTGATAGCCAGTTATATCATCACTAGTTAAAGAATTTCAATATTTCTTTTAAAATTTGGTCTAATTGCTCTTTTGATACTTTTTTTTCAATCCTAGATTAAAAATACCATTTTTTCTCATCCAATGGGCCCAAGCCAAGCCCAAACCAATGCTCACTTGGCCCAAGGCTTCCTACAATGGTAATGAATAAATTCTAAAGCCCTATCTAGTTAGATCGAAACTCCTAACTCGAGATTCATAACATTACACTTCTTTTGATGTGTGAAAGAATTTGTGAGAATTTCGATAAATAGAAAAGTGATAACGGATGTGCTGCTTATAGGGAGATTTGAAGGATGTACAACATTTAATTTCTTCACATTGACAACTCGGTAAATGTCGAAAGCTCCATGAAGAAAGTCCATGTATACTCAGCGCGGATAATTCCTCTTCGATACAGTTGTCTAATATTAACAAGGTGGTTTTGTTAGGTAACTCCTTGAACATGTTATGCTTTTCGAAATGTTCTGAGCATATCATAGTCATACCATTTTTTCGGACCGATGTCTAGATTATCCATCAGTCCGATTCCTGTTATTCGATTCTTCGAGATGGATCATCGAGGGTGGAATTTATTCCCTAACCAAAAGCTCTTCTTCTTCGTAGGTCAAGTCATGGGAGGATACTACGGTATGCAAAAGAAGCTTCTTAACTTTCAGCTTGCTAGTGCATCAGGAGACAGGAGATGCATGGCAAAGTAATTGGCTTGTATGATCACTTATATTTAATGAATGCATTGCCTTTTTTCGTGGCAAATTGGATCTTTTCTTCTAGCGTATGAACCTCTTCTTTTGGTTATAATGTTTGGAAGGAAGCGTATTCGCAGCTTTCCATGAAACGAACAACTCAACATCCTGTGTAGCACAAACTAGATATAAATGACTATGATGTAGAATCAGATTTCTGCTCAGCATCAGCTGTTGCTTGAACTTGAACTGCATACTGCAAGTTCCAGAGAACATCCTCGAAAGATGGACGAGATGATGTTTCAGGACATATACATTTTCCCGTAATAGATACCACGATCGATAATGACTCCTGTGAGCAAGTGGTCAACACTGTTGGATCCACAATTCGCTTCCGGCCATCCTGGCTGCCGAAGGATGCCTGCGATATGTAATACAAGATCTCAGAAGCAGTAATACACATTTTGACTGCTAAACAAGCCATAATCATTGTCATAATATTGTGTTAATGGAATTCATAAGTGAAAAAACAAGTGGCTGGCTTACCATTTCATTTAAAAGAAATGTTTCTCCTTTTTCACTCACCATAGTTCCAACAAGAGACTCTAGTAATATAAAACCGAAGTTGTAGACATCATCCTCTAGAGTTAGCCTTTGGCTGCAACAGATATTGAAAGGAGTTTGGTATTATAAACAACAATTAGCAAGAAACTCTAGAAAAATGAACCAACAAAACAAACCAAAATTGACATGTTAGTCCATGCAAGATGTTAAATGCATTACAGATTGTTTGAGGAGGTAGCAGCTATGTCATATAGGTATTAACAAGACTCATTTTTCTTGAACTTTTGGTGTTTAAAACCGACGTCCGGTTCATATACGGACATGGGTATGGGGACATGATCGCCTAAAAATCCTCCGTATGCATGAAAAACCTTGAAAAACAAATTAAACTATATGTGCTGAACACATACATGATACATGTACTCAACTCTAAAACCTGAGTCCGAGTAATGTAATGCTTTGTCGCAGGTCATCATTATATGGCTAAGATATCAATTGCAGAGGAAAGGGTGCTCCAGCAATCGCCTTGGTGGAAAGGTGGTAAGAGCAGAAGAATGGACCAATCATGCAACAAAAGGTAATTAATTATTATAAACACGATGGCTTTCCATTTACTGAAATTCTTGTTAATGATGCATGACCATCATCTTAATTTTTTAGGTCAAGATGAACTAAAAGATGGAATTCCAATGTCATTCTCATAAATATAGTTGCAAGCTGAAAGTATGGATACCTAGAGTTTAAGCCCCCTCCCTTTTCCTGCAGAAGAATAAGATGTTTCAGAATAATCACTCCAGACCATGATATCTTTTCCATGTAACAACTCAAATGTGCATAGCTAGAAAACATACATCAAAATTTTCATTTTCTTCCATGATGATAGACATCCCATAGTCACTCAACTTTGCTATTCCATGCTCATCCAGCAATATATTATTCGTCTTCAACCAGTTATTATGAACACCTGGAATAACCCCAGTATGAAGAAAATGTACAGCCTTAGCCACATCAATTAGGATTGCTAGTCTGTCCGACCACTTAAGAACCTTCTCCGGACAATGTTCTGCAATTTTTTTGAGTTCGAATATAATTTCGGGATTTGACGTAGGAATATAATTTTGAGTTCAGATTTCAACACCGACCTGACAGATGCATACGATAATTCCCGTTAGGCACATATTCGTAAACGAGGAAGGCTTTCTTTGCATTGGGATCATCTTGTACACCACCATCAATGCAGTGTCCCAAAAAGCCTACTAAATGAGGATGATGAAGCTTTGAGAAGAATTCAAGCCTAACTTTAAGGTTTTGAAATGAATATTTCTTCAGTAAACTCAAAGATCGAATGGCGACATAGGTTCCATTCTCCAATCTTCCTTTATATAGCTGCAAACGGGAAACAAGGAAATCAGATAGGCCTTTTGGTGATCTCCGTGACCAAGGCAAAACTTCATGGATATACATAACATGTAAGGCTGTTTTATACATCTTAGCTCCAGCAAGCTATTGTTGTTGGTACCAAGATTCAAGAATAGAATATGAAACATCAAATCTTTGAAAGAAAGTAATCGTTTTAAGCTTATTGCATTCATAAAATTCTAAATCTCATCCATCTATATCCCCATTCAAAATTTTTGGTTCTGCAAACTACTTGATAGATTAAACAAAGTCATCAAAATTTGATAAATTCAACGGTTCTGAATTTTGAGGATACCTGCCCAGTAGAGCCTTCACCCATAAACATTGATGAATCAAAATTGTTTGTGGCTTCCTTCAACTCTTCCAAGGAAAATAGTCGACATACCGGAGAACCTTGTGTCCCGAGCTTCGCAACTTCAGAAATGAATCCTAAACAAATGAAATTACATGATTAGTAATTAACATTCATAATAACTCAAATTTCATTTTGAAACACTATAAAACAGTGTTAGAAATCATTGTGAATTCACTTCTCTTAAGTTGCTACAATATGAAGTTGACCTTTATCAACTACAAACTTATTGCTTACTGGCATTTGCAAGAACTTCAGGTGAAACCCCGGTTGTTGGACTGTCTTGAACAGCCTTTTGCCTTATATGAGTTTCGGAAGTTCGCCTTTTGAAGCATCTTTGAGACAGAATAAGAACCCCAAATGCCAAAAGCACCAGAAAAAGAAGAGATCCTACTATAACAGCCATTAATGATGCTATCTTTCTTCCAGTTTTCTTTGTGTTTGCTTCTTTACAATGTGAGCTTTGATGCTGCTGTTGGCCTTCAATGGACAAGCAATTCCCACCAAATTTCACTACTCTCTTATCTGATTTATTGTCCAAGCAAGAAGGAAGGTCACCAACCAACTTGTTACTAGAAATATCGACAAACCCGAGTTTACTACCACAAGTTATTTTCTCTGGCAGTGAACCACTCAGCTTATTTGATGCCAAATTCAAATAACTGAGGTTAGGCAAATCAAACAAGGCAGTGAGGGGTGTTCCACTCAGATGATTGAAAGATAAGTCAAGGTGCTGAAGATGAGTCAACATGCCAACTTGAGGAGGAATTTCACCTGAGAATAAGTTCTTAGCAAGAAGAGCTGTAACCAATCTTTGGGGCATGGCAGGCAGTTTGGAATTGAATCGATTCTCTCTTACATCCAACACTCGCAGGCGAGTTAAGGTACTGAAGTCAGGCAGTTTACCGGAAAGCATATTGTGGCACAAGGCAATATCTGTTAGGCTTGAAATTCTGCATATTGAAGAAGGAAACCGACCCTTCAAACGGTTGCCTCTCAAACTCAGAACCGAAAGATTCGACAAGTAATGCAGTGAATCAGGAATAGTGTCATTGAAGTAATTTCCATCCAATGTTAGAGTTTTAAGCTTAACCATTCTAGATATCTGAGGGGGTATAGAGCCAAACATGAAGTTGGAGCTTAAGTCCAAAAGTTCAAGAGAATATAGCCTATGAATCTTATCAGGAAGTGGTCCCCAAATTCCTAGGGACACTAAGCTAAGTACCCTTAAACTGGTTAACCTCGTCAATGTAGTAACTAAAGAATCAATGGAGAATTTCTCAGACAACGTTTTATTAGGAATTCCATATCCACTGAAACCACTAATATTGGCAATCTTTTCTCCCCTAATCTTAAGCTCAGTGACAAAGTTGTCCTGGCAAGATACCATCATATGTGCTGTTGGAGACAAGTTACAGAGGTCCTCCCCATTGTAGTTATCCAGAGTTTGCAGTTGTGAAGGGTACTCTAAATGCTTCCTTATTTGCAGCAAAAGTTGAATTTGATAACTTTGCAATCCATGAGTAGTTGGGAAGAAGCAACTCCATGAAAATGATACTAGAACAAGAAAGTAAAAGTAACCCATTGAATAAACTTGGTGAAGCAACACACTCCAGATGTCTAAAGAAGTGGACAAAATCCCTGAAACTGAAACAGGAATGTTAAATTCAGAAGAAACTGAAATATAACTTGCAAAAGGAAGTTCATCAGAAATTCTTTACCTGAAGGTTTAACCTTTAATTACAAATGCAAGAAGTTTACTTTCAGTAAAGTATGATGGAACTGCAAATCGAGCTAAATTCAAGTACACGCTGGAAGAACAATGAAAAATCTTACTTGGGAAGCACAAAGATGCAGTTTTTACCAAGACAAAGTACAACTCTTTAACTAAATTCAGTCAAAAAAGAGAAGAACCCAATGGAGAATAACACAAGAGAACATTGGCAAACAAGCAAGCTTCATGATCCAATGAAGAGCAACTCAAAAACCAAAACATGATTTAAAAAGGAAAAAAGGAAACTTGAAGTGAATAGCAATGGAATTATGGAAGTGTTAATTTCGATATACTTTGGCTAAGTTACTATATATGAAAGTATTATTTAAGAAAGTGAGAGATTAAAACAAGTGGACTGAGTGCTTCTTCTGCCCGAGGGAAGGTGGTAGTTGTAAAGGGTGGTACAAAGGAGAAACATTTCAAAGATAAATTGATAAGGCAATTAATAGGGGGAGGTGCATTAATGGTGAGTTCTTTGTTTTCTTGAGAAAAGAGACAAAGCTAAGTGGGGACTGTGTTATACGTAACCAGAGACAATATTGCTTAGGAAATTACAGAGATGGAGATACAGATAATACTGTATAACTAAAAATCTGTAGTGGTTTCTCTTTTTATAAAACAAATCACCTATAGAGGCATTTTTTCCAATTAAAATGTCATAAGAAAATGAGACTGACATTCAAATTTCCTAGCATGCTTTTTTATGTACAACACTTGACCTCGTAGTATTGCGGTTGCAGTGCCAGAATTGCGTTTGTTACGAACGTTAATATGGCGATTTATTTCCCAATTAAAGGTAAAAAAATATCCTAAGGTATTAGAAGTGTTAAACTTACACGTGGTTATAAGCCAATGTGTTAGTTAAGAAATAGTTAGAATTAATTAATTTGTTAGAAGTCACTGCCTATATAAATGAGATACTTTGTAAATTAATATGAGGGTGACTTAGATGAAAATCTTTATGCTCAATTTTATTCCTTTAACATGGTATCAATAATCTAACCGATCCTTTTCTCTCTCACATTTTTTGGGCCTTTTCCTTAATACTATCCATTATTCTTTTTTGTGACAGTTCAACGGTTTCTCTCTCTTGCAAATCTGTTTTGTTTCGTGTAGAATAATAATTGGCGATGGTTATTAACGGGGGATACTACCACGATTGATTTCAACATCCACTGGACCTTCACCCTTCCGATAGTACTCCTGGTACGATTCTTACTTCTCATCAGTTGTTTAGAATTGACAATTACGCAATCTGGAGTCGCTCTATACGAATTACTCTTCTTGCCGAGCACAAACTAGAGTTTATTGATGGTGACCATCGTCGTGATGACTATCAATCTTCTTCCTAAGCTCAATGGGACAGATGCAACGCTTTTGTCCTTTCTTAAATTATCAATTCCGTTAGCAAGGAGCTATCCAATTGGATCGTGTTGCCTATAGTGCAACTCTGATCTGGGTTGATTCGAAGGAGAGATTCAACAAGGTTGATGGTTCACGCTTTTTTTTTCTTCATCGAGGATTGCAACATTGGCCCAAGTTAAGTCCTCTGTTTCTATTTACTTCACGAAATTAAAGGTTTTTTGGGATGAATATGTTGCTTTTTCGACTTGTAATTGTGAGAATGCACAACAAATTTCGACGCATCTTTCTCACCAGTGTCTCTTTCAGTTCTTGATTGGGTTCAATAAGACATATACTGCTCTTCGCAGTTAGATCATGTTGATGCAACCTCTAATTTTGCTCAACAGTGTTTACTCCATGATCATTCAAGAAAAGTCTCATCATCTTCATATGTCTGGCGTTACACCTTTCATGGATGCAATTGCTTTGTACTCCAATGTGACCAATGCTCGTAAATGCTTCTCTAGACGTGTGATTATTGCAAGGTCAAGGGCTATAAGAAAGAGAATTGTTACTGTTTCATTGGATTCTCAACTGACTTCAAATTCAACAAGTAAAAGGGTCCTCATGCAGCTTTGGTGGTTCGTGCTGGTTTTGTTGATGGCAACAATCCCATTATTGATTCAGTTTCTTCTTGTGTTTCATCTACTCCACTAGTCTTCACCTCAGAACAATATAGACAGATTATGAGGCTCCTGAACCATACTTCAATTCCAAATTCCAAATTCCTCTCTGAATCTAGTAGGCACTTATCCTCATTTTTGTTCCCTTGAACTTTAATTGAATGGATCTCAGACACTGGAGCTATTTACCACATATTGTAGATATTCATTTTCGTTTGGAGTTTATGTTGCATTTTTCTATTATTTTAATAATATACTATAATTATGTATATAGTTTTATATTATTATAGTTTTAATATATATATTGTTTTGAAAACATATAGTTTTTGGAATATATATATATATATATGGGTAAGATCTGATCACACTATGTAAAATTCTTTTAATTTTACACATTTTTAGGATAATTGAATGAGAGAAATTAAAGGCTGAAATTAATAGTAGAAATGGGAAAATATTCACTGAACAAATAAACAAGAAGTTAATCTTAGCCTTTAATTTCCCTCAATCCAATTGTCATAAAAATGTGTAAAACTAAAAAAAATTTATACAGTGTAAGTCGATCTTAACCTTATTTTATACATTTTAAAAACATGTATATATAATTTTGGAACATATGTATATTATATATTTTAAAAAAATTATATAGTTTTTTAATATATATATATATACTTATATATAGTTTTATTAAAAACACATATATTATATATTTTGAAAATATATATTTATTATATTGTATATTAAGTATATTATTATATTATTAATAATATCATTTTCTTTTTATCTTAATCTAGGTTCGAATAAGATCCAAGTCAAGGAATCCAAGTCCAAAACGAGTCATGGTCTATAAGTCCAACAAAGGCCCAACAAGCAAGCCTGACCCAGCTTTGCAAGCTGGCCGAATCCAAAAAGCTATGGTTTCTCATGTTAGGACTCTGTTTTGAAAATCGGATCGGACCGGCCGGTTCAATCGGTTCAACCGGGAATCGTTGTTTAGCCCGATTCAATCTAAACCGGTTGAACCGCTATTAGTGAACCGGCCAAAACCGATGAACCGTTCGAACCGGACCGGCTGAAAATCGAAAAAAATCGGAAAAAACCGGGATTTTTTTTTAAAAAAAAATATTAAACCAAACAACGTCGTTTGTTAAACGAGCCAAGTCGAACTCGAGTATTGCTGAGCTCGACTCGAACTTGAAAACTTTAAAAGTAAGCTCAACTCAACTCAAACTCACAAACTAAAAATTATTAAGTTCAACTCAAACTCGAAATATAATATTGAAACTTGAACTCAAAAAAAATTAGAAGTTCGATTGAAGCCTAAAATTCGAGCTTAATTGAAGTGAAAGAATAGTTCACTCAATGCTCACCAAAAGACTCAATGATTTTGAATGTCAAATTACCTCTATTATTTATAGAAGTTAGTTGTGATGCGCTTCTATGTTTCTTAGCAATGTAAGATTGTTTTATTTTCATATTTTTACTCTTTAGACTTTTGAGATGCTCTTCTATGTTTTTTAGCCACGTGAGATTATTTAAAAAAAAAAATAAACCAAACAATATCATTTTGTTATGATTTTTTAACCCCAAATTTAATTTTTAATTATAATTATATAATTATATTTATTATTTAATATGTTTTACCTTAAATATTATATTGTAGTTAATTTGAATCATTTTGTTTCACTTAATTTTATAGTTTTTAACTTATATATATGTTATGACTTGTTTTGAATATGACTTGTGATATAAAAAAAAATTTATTAAATATTTTTGGTATTTTTATTTAATTTTTTAAATAATTATGACGTCGTCCGGTTCTTCCAACCGGTCGGACTGATTCGACCGGTTGAACCAATAAACTGATAGTATGACCAATTCGTTAACCGGTCCGGTTCTGAAAACCATTTGTTAGGATGGATGTCGCCTTTTACAGGATCATTGGATGGAGAGGAGAACTAATTGTCATGATCGAAGGCATTTAGAATTTGAAAACCCTAAATGTTATGATAATTGCGCAGCACATTTACAACTGTCGGATCGAACATCTCAATTTAATGGCCAAAAGATATCAATAACCTCATGCGTCAGACAACACAAACGGATGAAAATATTTATTTCCAAATCGAAAGCCAAAATGACAAGAAGATCAAACAAAGCAAGATCAAATCAAGAAGGCAACCAAAATCAACAAAAGGAAACATGCAAGTTAATTGGATCATATCAAATTGAAAAAGGGATACAATCCCTTTATCTCGTCGATTTTGAAATAAAAAAATCACTAGATTTAAGGGGATGTGTTTCCTCGAGCCTCCTATAAAGTGGACCTGCAAAAAAGAGATGGGAATGGAGGAAGCTTTCGAAAACCCTAAAAAATACCCAAAAGACTAAAGAGTGAAATGAAGCACTTAGCTTGATTGCTGAGGAGAACCAACCGCCGACGAAAGAGTAGAGCGCCATCGTGAAAAAATATCGCCACCTGGAGATGTAAAATACGAGGCTTGTATGTGTAGATCCTCGTCGATTGGGAGTGTTTTAGGACATTTAGTATATGAATTTGGGGTCAGGATGAAATAGGAAGAGATTAGGTTAGCTCTAGAAGTCTCCAACCATCGTGGTAGGTGGCCAGAGCAGCGGTTGGAGCGGTGGCCGGGGAGTTTTCACGGCCGCGTTCTGGGAATTTGGTTGAGGAAGTTGAGAGAAGATTGTGAATGCTTTTTGGGAAAGGAAAGTGAGAAATGAAGAAATAAAAATGTTGAGTTATTTATATAGGGTCTCGGTTGTAATTAGGAAATAATAAAAAAAAATTTCAGTCCCTATAAGTTTGTTATGTAATTCATTTTAGTTCTTTCCTTTGTTCTAATTCAATTTTTTTTGCAATTTGGACATTTGTTTTAATTTTATTTCCAATTTAATCCTTATTAATGTTCACTTGCATATTTTTTTTAGTTTTTTATTATTATTATTATTATTATTATTATTATTATTATTATTA